TGAATGTCACAGAGTGAGGTCTTTAAACTATAAAATAGTGAATCATAAACTATGCTTTCAAATACCTTACTGAAAATAGAGAGTTTACTTATACCCCGATAGTTATTGACTAGATTTCTACTGCCTGAGTTTTTATGTATCGGGACGAGAAGAGCCGTTTTCCAAATCTTTGGGAAGATACCAGACTGAATAGATGTATTGAAAAGTTTACAGAGTGGAAGGCATGAACTGACTGCACAGTTTTTAACAAAATACGATGGATAGCCGTCGATAGCCGTCGTACATAACAAAAAGCCTTCAGGTCATCCGTCATCCGGTCATCCGGAAGAACAGCAGATGTAAATAATTTGTGAGATGGTAGTGAATCCTGAACAGTCTACTTATTCCGCCGCGAATGTTTGTGAGGTGACTCCTTCTACTGTGTGGCGAGTTTTGCAGAGGAATATGTATCATCCATACAAAATTTAAATGTTACACCAATTAACTGAACATGACACTGATCAAAGAACAGAATTCTGCCAAATCATGACATAACCCATGGCAAGGCATCCTTCCTATCTCCACAAAATTTGTTTCAGTGACGAAGGTAATTTTTTTTAAACGGCAAAGTGATACTAACCCTCAACGTTTTCCGGAAAACACAAACCCAATATCCAGAAAAAATTAACGTTTGGGCAGGAATATTGGGAAACCATATTGTAGGATCTCTATTTATTGATCAAAATTCAACAGGGGAACTGTATTTGACTATGTTGGAAACTACTGTCGACCCTCTCATTACTGAAATCTTACTGAAGTAAGAAACTATTTGGATACTACTTTTTCCGGTCGTTGGATTGGCCGTCGAGGTCCTACAGAATGGCCAGACTGCTCCCCAGATTTGAACCTTTGGACTTTTTTATGGGGCTATTTGAAGCAAAAGGTGTACAAAACTGAACCTGCTTCAATAATGGATATAAGGCAGAGAATAATAAATATTTGTAGAGATATTGACGTTACTGTGTTCGAAAATGTTAGTCGTGAAATATCGGATAGGCTGTTCATATGTCAAGAAGTTCAAGGCAACCATTTCGAGAATCTTCTGAACTGACGTCAAGCTTATTATCTCATATTATGTAGTTAAATATCAATGTATTCAGGCAATTAGTAAAAGTTCCGCCATTTTGTATTAGTTGAAGATATTGACATTATATTCTAGGGTTGTGAATCATCTATCAGGAGCTTCAGAAATATGTGTCACAAGACTTTCTATTCAATTTTCATCTGTCAATTTCCCTTCAAAATAAAGTATACATGCATTAATTTCATTATCCCCAATTTCAACTTAATTTAATAATAACGAAATGCACTGTACATATAACTATAAGTTATGCTAGTCCCGAGATGACAAGGCTTGAAATATGTAGTAATATGCAGGGTGTCTCGATAAAAAAAATAGTTTTCCATCAACTATTGATATCTTATTTGAAAAAATAGGTTTTTTACAACATCTTATTCTACTCAAAAAGTGGTCAGGAAATGGTTTCATAGAAACAAGAAATTTTTGACAGAAAAAAAGTTGAAGCAACTTTTCAAAAATGCACATTTTCGAAAAAAATGTTGTAACTTAGAAACGATGAGAGATATCGATATGCAGTTTTCACCAATGAGTTTGTCATAAAATTTGACCCCCCCACACAGCCATAAGTTTTCATCTATCATCAGGAGTTTCCCTTTGAAAGTGTCCAATTTGGCCCACTTTGTACAAGAGTAGTTTCTTAAATACTGTGAATCATACTGAGTTGTAAAACGTTCCATCTTCTCAGTACTACGATCTGTAAGGTCTTTGTATATCAGATCTAGTATCGGAATGCTGATACTTCTGAAGAAGTCAGTTTCTATCTGACAAAATCCTTCAGCATTAACTTTTCAAGAAACTTAACTCTTTTGCTATTTCACGGAGTTATATGACAATGGCTAAAGTTCTTTCACAAAACTGCTCCAGGTATATTTTCAACTGAGCCTGAAGAAAAAATGCTCGAAACAAAAGGGATAATACCTCTTCTTTTCTTTTCAATATTAATCACTACGAGTATCTACGCTTCTAGGCATTGACTCAATCCACCAGAACATTGAGGAAATTGTTGTATCAACAGTGACCTCTTTTATGTTATTGGTATATATTTATTTTGACACAAATCTGCCTTGGTGATTTTGTGGGACGTACCCTGTATTATTAGACTGTATTATATGTAGACTTCATCAAATTGGTTGTTGCACGAAACAAAAATGCATGGATGCAAAAAGACAAGCAGACAATGGTTCAACAAATCAGATGAGAAATAATCCTTCACAAGCTGATCTTTGTATCTATTCGATACATTCAGGACGAGAAAAACTGTATTATGTGTAGACTTCATCAAATTCGTTGTTGCACGAAACAAAAATGCATGGACGCAAAAACACAAGCGGACAATGGTTCAACAAATCATATGAGAAATAATCCTTCACAAGCTGATCTTTGTATCTATTCGATACATTTAGGACGAGAAAAACTGTGAATTGTGATGACTTCATCATTGGGTGTTCTGATTAACATCAACTCGAATCTTCCAGGAGAACTGAATTACTGCCTTGAAACCCGTGGGTTGGGCTACCTATCGGGCGCGTTCCCAGGTAGCGGAGAGGGGAACGGCCAGGGGACTGGAGGCCCTGTCTGGGAAGCCAATGTGGCCTCACGGACGGGGTCGCCGGCCTCCTGGTCAGTGGCAGAAATAAGTAGGATGAGGGGAACTAAAACTCCCCAAAAGCCTTGGCATAACATGCCCCCGTGGACCTTTGCATAACATGCCCCCGTGGACTAGCCTGCCCAAGCTAAGGTGTAAGGAATCGTGTCGACAGCTGAATGATCGCGGTTACGAATGATCCCCTTGGGGAACTGGGCGAAACCTCATTGTAATCAGATCAGCCTACCTCTGCTTGCTACTCGTGGGAACACACATGGAAGAAACAACACAAAAACAAATAACAAAAACAAAAACCAATCCCGAGGCTGGACAGAAGTGCTCTACTCAATCTAAGGCGGTGGTTGGGGATGTACAGAAATGTTCACCCCAGTCTACCGCTTGGAATGAGGCTGAACATAGCAGATCACCTGGTGATGTAATACAAAGGCCAAGGCGTAAGCGCATTTGAGGCGCCGTGGCCAGAAGTGTATAAGTGCACCCTCCTCCTCCCACACTCCACCTCCAAGAGCAAGGGCATTTCCTGCGGCGGGCGCCAAGAACTCCGCCTTGAATAAAGGCAAGGAACCTTCTGCCCCTGCAGGAAAGCTCCCTCACTTGTGCACCTCCGCGGAGGGAACCCCAAGAAGGTTGAAGAAGCCGCGCAGCGACAGTAATGTCGCTGCACCTTCCAAAACCTTCGTGAAGGCCACCGTGAGACACCTCAAGGTTATGTGTTCGGCGAGTCTTGGCCTACATCTGCTAGATGTCTCTTAGTGACCTGTCCACCTTCCTGGAAATGACAGGATGGATGATATACTAGGAGGACAACTCCTCGGGAGGATGTAGAATAGGTCATATGTGGCCTGAGTGCTGTGGGTCTACACTGTCTACAGATACAGATACTGCTTTGAAATTAAAAATTTGAAAGGAGAAATGCATCAAGGATATTCTGAAAAAATTTGAAATGGACCAGTGCAGACTAACGGAAGTGGGAAGTAATCTGAAGGAAAAGGAGATGGCAACTAAAACAACAGACTCTCCTCATCAGAATTCAATTGAATTGCACTTGTTATCAGACCAGATATTTCGTATGAAGTAAGCAACCTCAGCCAGTTTAATGCCAAGAACACTCAATAGCAGCAAAATCTATCCCAATATATGTCAAAGAAATGAAGAATTTTGCACTGGAATTCCATCAAACTGGCAATATTAATACATAGGTCCAGTGAAATGGAGAAAGAGTTAGTAATTTTTCTAAAAATGTAGAAAGGCATACAGAACTTTTCTGTTGTATGATACATGGAAACACTTGTTATTGCATTTCTTAGAATACATTCCATACTAGGACTAGAAGAGAAATTGATGTTGAAGAATAAATATTGAACAATACGTTGGTGAAGGTGTATAGGAGGAAAAATGTTAGTTGGATATTCATCAATTATGTTTTCAGCACAGAAAAAACCATGGAAAATCTACATTCAACAAGTTGGCCAGTATAGATAATGTGCTGATCAAATAAAGACTATCAAATCTGAAATATAATTTTACCGTAAAACCGTCGATTCTTGTGCTGTCGTCGATTTGAACTTCGTAGAAAACTTGGCCGTAGTTGACATTCTTGACGGGGTTCCACGTAACGTTGAAGGAATCAGAAGATCCCACCACTTCCACAGAGTTATTGTTCACTTTTTCTGGCAATACATTTACCTGAAGCCAAGGGTCGGTATCATCTGAAATAGAATTAAAATAAAATCTGTAAACAAATTATTGTTGCTGGCTGATTCATGACATTAATGAGTAGTAAAGCTCAAAAAGTACTAACCTGGAAGAGTATCTAGAAAAGAATCCACGACATGAACCAAATTGAGACCCTGCATTTGTTTTCCGCTTACGGTGGCGATATTTTTACCAGCCAAATCACTAATCGCTGCGTTTTTTCCATCTTGAAGCCACAGCAACCTCTTGTGGAAATAGCAGAGGGGGCCCTGGATGTCGGGTTTCTGCAAACTGGATACTTTTTCGATATCAGGTATTTTGTCATCCCAGTAACCTTTCATTGGACCTTTGTAGAGATGAGATCCGTCAGAACCTCTTACTATCCAGTAAACAAATTTTTGTTCTAGGTTAAGAGTCAGACCCATTACTGAAATGAAATAGAAAAATAACTGTCTTCATTTATCTCAGCTGGTCATAATTATTCGATGAGAACAAAAGAAATAGCTATATTCAAAAAGGGTGACCCAGGAAGTTTACATAATCACCGACATATTTCTTTACTTTACGTGATTGGAAGAATAATTGAAATCATTTAGAAAAACCGACTAGTACATTTTCTTCGAAAACATAGTCTATTCAAAATGCCAATTTGTTTGTACGTTATATGCTATTAACACAGCTAGCTATACAGAAAATTGTTCTTCTTCACCTTATTAAAACCGTTCTCAGTATGTCATAAACAAAAAATCGACTACCCTCAAAATGAATAATGGGATACCTCAAGGGTCGATTTTAGGCCCACTTCTCTTTGTTTTATATACTTTTCAGTTCCCTAAGCGGACACTGCATTCTGCTCCTATATTCCATAAAGTCATATCTACTGAAAATCATGCTTAACTATTCGATAAATTGTCCTTCAGAACCGACAAACATAATCTAAATTTGAGATTTAAACATTTTTTGAATCTACCTGAACATATAACCTCTCTTTTTCGATGCTCTTCCTCTCATGAAATTGCACTGTTATATAATCGGATACCCATCGAAATCTGAAGAGATATATGTTTCAATCTGGTTCTTTTCTTTCATAAAATTCATCACTTGATAACTTTTCTCAATATTCATTTACTATAAATACTAAATACTATAAATACTAAAATTATCGTTATACCTATTATTACATTATATTTCTTTTATGTTAATGACACGACTTCTCACATGTAGGTAAGCGATCAAATTATCATCTATTCGTTTTTCGCTTCTTTTTCATGCTATTCCTTCATTTCTCCCTTTCTTTTTTCTTCAAGTTTGACTGTGAAATATTTTTTATTGATATGAGTTAGTTGTTGCTTGCAAAGGAGGGTGCTGCAAGCAGCTTCATCGGCCAAACAAACATTGAACACCTGGATGGCAAGAAGATTCATGGACTTCTGGACTTCTACAGAGCTATACAGAAAATTGTTCTTCTTCACCTCATTAAAACCGTTCTCAGTGTCATAAACAAAAAATCAACTGCCCACAAAATGAATAATGGGGTACTTCAAGGGTCGATTTTAGGTCCACTCCTCTTTGTTTCATATACTTTTCAGTTCCTACAGTGCTTCATCGAACCAGAATCTGTCATGGCTTCGCTTTAGGCTTTGCCAAACAAACAATAAACCCTTGCAGGTTGCGATGGAGCGTGGAATAGACCCACTCACTTTTGACCTAACCTAACCTAACTCAACTGTTGCTGGTTAGATGGAAGAGTAGTTTCTGCCTTGATTTATCATGTGCAGATATTGAATTCTGTTAGTTCAAGTTAGTATCTCTTGTACTGCGTAATCTTTGAATAAAATAGTATATCATTATTACTATTATTATTAAAAATCTTACACTATGATATCAGGGGTCTACCACTTCAACTATCCGATTCTCATCTCAGCAACAGGTATCAATATTCTGAGCAATCAAGTGTACGTCTAGTAAATCATGAGGTTCCACAAGGATCGGTCTCGGGACCCATCCTCTTCATGATTCACATAAACAATCTGTTTTACTATTTATTCCCAAATATGTTATCGCTAGTTTTTGGTGAGACGTAACGTAACGTTTACCATCTGAGATAATAGCGAAACGTTGACCTTTGATGAATACACAACGGATGAGTAATGAACTATTTGTTTTATTCAAGTGTGGCTATACTTCTAATTCGTATTTCCTCAATTTGTAAAGGGTTCAAAAGTTCACTCAAACAGTACGCTGCTTAAACTCTATGGAGGAGATCGGTATAGTGGGCAACTATAATATTCAATCTCAAGCACATAGCCCCTGTATCTTAAGCTGCAACATAGTATTTCTGAAAGGAAGATTCAAATACCTTGTTTTCCAGAGAAATATTCCACATCGTGGTATTCGTATCTTTCTACGCCATTTAGTCGGGCACATTCAACTTTTATACCAGTCGTCCAATAAAGATACGCTTTTACGGAATCAATGTTGAGTTCCTTCGCTAATACTGTCAGAAGCGGTTCTTGGTCGGTTCCGTCGAGACTACTGCGTATAATCTGGAAAGAATAATGAAAAACATGAAAATATGAAAGATGAAGATCCATAATGGTTTACAATGGAAAAACACATGAAAAACGTACCATCAAATAAGCGAGCGAAAGATGAGAATGAAGTTAAGTGAAAATAAGAAAGTCCAAAATTCAATTATGAAAAATGACCATATAAGATTTAATGAATGAATGAATGAAATTTTATTAAATGCGAAATGTTCTTATTATACAAAGAGGCCTGTTATGGAAAAACAAATGTCAAAATATATTTGAGTCAGTTGATGAGGGAGAGAAAAAGTTGAGTCAAAATACAGATGATTTTAAAATTGAAATAGTAAATGAGAAAAACTCCAAACATTTGAAATAATTATAAACAGAAGATGTGTTAAAAAACAACTGAACAAAACAAATATTTCGCTACGGTGTTAGCGAAATAGGTCTAGAAATAAAAAATGTTTGTGATGACCGTTTTATTATTATCATAGATAGTATCTTATTGTTGTTCAGTATTAGAAATGCCATCCATTACCGCAGACTCAGTATCACTCGATCTGCAAAAGCCATATTGACCTGAATACCAATACACTATTGACTCTAAATAATCTATCGACCAATTATTCACAACCTCTTCAATTCTCTTTGAAAATAGATGAATTATATCTGATTGAATTTCCTGCAGATTATTCACTCACCATCTGCTGTTTGGGATTCGACCAGTACAGCTTCATCCCAATCCAGTCCACAGCAATGCTCCCAACAGAGTCTAACTTCGCCAAACGGTCATGAGCACGAGTAGTGAAGTTGTACCAGTACACTTGGGAAGTATTCGCAACCAAGAATATCCGATCCTTGTACCCAGCAATGTCCACGAAGTGAAGATCCTTCATTTCGCTCTTGTCTATGAGCACTTCTACATTTTCTCCAGCGGCGTTCGATTGGAGAAGACCATCAGTAGCTGACCAAATCAGTATAGGAGTTTTGGAGGCATTCAGAGTTGTTCCCTTGAACCCAGATGACCAAGGACCCCTTCCAGAGTTTGTATAAGCTGCTACTCTCAGGATGTACTCGGTGTTCTCTTTCAAGTTGGTGATCGTGAAGAATGTGTCGTTGATGTTTTTATGGATGATGATCTCTTCAGAGTTGATTTCTTTCAGTGATATCTCGTAGGACCAATTCTGCCATGCTCCCTTCCCTGAAAGAAATAGAAGTGACTAACTGAAATATTCAAGAGTTTTTTTGAAACAACAAGACTTAGATCTGTGATGTACTGTTTGGAACCTTTAGTGTAGTAATGAATACACCTCGACACGTGTTTCGATCACCAAGTGGTCATCTTCAAGAGGAAGTTTGATCTTCCCCCAACGATGAAGCAGTACCTACTTATACCAGTTTCATGAGTAAAATGAGATTATATTCCTACATTACAAAATAATATCTATTCAAAAACTTGATATTTTCAATTGGCAAACTTAGGTGTACCTTGTAGACCAACCAAATGAGGTGGTTGCCATCTTGTTTTGGCGATATTTCTTCCGAATATAGCTTGCACGTTCGTAGGCGGATTGATTGGAGTTGGCCAAGGCTGGGAACTCTGCAAATTGATGAAGACTTTCTTGTAGAATTCGCTAGTCTGTTGCGGTATGGTGTTGTGGAAATAGCTTCGGCTGGCCGCGTGGTACTCCTCATTGAAAACATCCACACCGTCTGTCCAATAAAATTTCTTGCTGGCCATTGCTAGTGAAA